TGTCGTCGGAAATCCGTCAATCCCTGATGTTGGAGGCGAATTTCTGTGGGGCCGCTATGTGCACTACGGTGTTCTTCCTTCTGAGATTATTTCTTCTGCGTCAGTCACATTCGAATGTGTTTTTCGAATTTTCTATAAAACAATGCTCACTAAGCAGATGGATTGAAAAAGTGGCAAGTACGCTTCTGAAATTTTGACAACGATAATCATTACGGGTTACAAGTATGATTTTATGGGGAGTATTGAGAAGAATCAAATGGCGAGTATATCCTGTGTGCGTGTGTTCGCATAAGTTGTCTGACCTTGTTGTGTCAAAAATTAATTGATTCTTGATCGGGGTTTCCACGTAGAGAATCAATTGCGAGCTGTCATGCGAAGCGCTATGGGCAGTATCCAAAGACTGTGTATCATCATCCGGATTGGTAGTTGGATCGGTATTCAACGGGTTAAGCTGGGATGGAATGCGTGATAGCGCATCACCTACCACATTTGATTTCCCGGGCTTGTAAATGAGTTCACAGTTGTATTCTTCTATGCGAGCGCTCCTACGTTTCAACTTCGCTCTGGGCTGCCCAGAGCAAACGTGAGGGGTTGATGGTCAATATACCCAAATAGAACGTGCACCATACAAGTAAGACCGGAGGGTGTCCCATGCGCAAACTATCGCGAGCATTTCCTTCTCAATTGTAGCGTAATTTTAATCCGTCCTATTTGGCGATCGGGAAATATATGCTATTCGCATGTCTTTACCCTGATAGTCATGTGAAAGGACAGCTCCGATGGCATAGTTAGATGGATATGTAGTTAAACGGAATGGCTTGGTAAAGCAGGGAAATGCTAATATCTCCATGGAAGAAAGAATTGACTTCAAATCGTCGAAAGACCGTTTCATGCAATATAATTGGAACCTTGCTTGATTGGATAGATTGCGAAGATTTTATATTGGTTTTGCTACTTTCTTGTACTAACTGTAATATGATGTCATAATGAGAAACCTTTTTAGTTCTTTAACATAAGTTGGAGGTGGCATTTCGTTGATCGCCTTGACCTTTTTTGTATCTGCCTTGATACCATCGGCTGTGACAACGTATACCAAAAATTCTACCTGTGTAGCCAAAATGTGAGATTTCTCGAGGTTTACTTGAAGGTATGCCTGCGACAAACTCGCAAGTATCAGTCGAAGATTTTTCCAATGTGTATTATAATCCTCGCTGAAGACTATGATATCGTAATAAACATAACAAATCTTGCCAATGTGCTCGCGAAAAACATCGTCGATCATTCGTTAAAAGATTGCAGGTGCATTTTTCAAACCGAATGGTAGACGGAGGAACTCGTACTTTCCATTCAAAGTAGAAAAAGCTGTCTTGGGAATGTCACTCCCTTTCATGTGGATTTGGTGGAACTTAGAAGTCAAATCTAAAGTGGTAAAATATTTGGCATTGCCAAGACTGGCTAACGTGGCGTTTATATTATATCCGGAATGGGGTTGAATCCGCTTAAATTTATCCGCTTAAAATTGACTACCATGCGATATTGTTTTTTCCAACTGGGTTTGGGTTTCTTCGGGACTATCCAGATAGGGGAATTGTAAGGGCTATTAGATGGGCGAATAATGCCATCATGCAGAAGTTCGTCAATTTGGCGTTCAACTTCTCCGCGAATGCTGGCTGGGTACGGATAACTCTTGGTATAGATAAGGTCTTTCGTGCTTGTGCGGATTTCGGCCTTGACGTCCGTATCCACGGATATTCCTGGTGAAGGAGGTACGAAGATGCCGGAATATTCCTCAAGGGAATTCAAGAATTCCCGTATGCCATTCGGGTATTCGGCGGCGAGTAGCGGGTTGATTTTTAATGAGACTCTGGCCGAAAGGGGAATTTTGATTCCCATGGCTATTATTAGACAATTGTTCTTCCTGTCTACTATGGATTTTAAGTCAATGTAGATTTGGAAGAACAAAAAAGATAATATCTGAGTAGTTCCCCAGTGACTCGAAAATTTTCTAACCAGGCGGTGTGTTATCTTAATATTGCCTGCAATGGACTGGTCGCAGAAAGGTTTGTGAATTGTGGTACAGCTGGCTGCACGTTTGTGGCTAATAAAGTTTTTGTTCGCGGCCGTGTCGATCAAAAACTGTATCCTCTCCCCCCTCTTCATTGCATACTCTAGGTATGGTACACTAGACGGTTATAAAATTCACCCCTCCCTCTGCTTCAAGAACGCAGCAAATCAAGAAGATTTGCAGCGCCTGTATCCCCTCGCATTGCGTCGCGTGGAGGATAATTCCAGACGCGTGGCCGTAATAGACCTCGTTTGAAGTGCCTTGGTTATCTACACTAGTCGCTGAGGCTTGTGGAGGCAGAGCGAGTTCCATGTGGTACAATCTTTGCGCCTTTCGGAATGGGTTGTCGCCCTCCGCGGTTCTTTTTATGCCAGAGTCTCCTTCCTGGCGATTACTATATCTAGATTGGTAGGATTCCATTTTGATGGCCTGCCTAGGGTTCTATATGTATTTGTGAATATCTGCCCGAATCAGGACTAAATGGTCCTGTGAATCTTGGGGCAACTGACGGTTGATGGGCGGGGGTCCTCGACATTAAATTCTGCAACTCTGTGCAGAAAAAATACGACCCTGGTAGATTCTTGGGGCCGAGTACAAGTAAATGCTTGGAGCAGTAAGCCCCCACTCCTCAAATGAAAACATCCAAAGCTCTGTCCCTATAGGTCTCTATCAACGCGTTGACCACTTCACGAGAGCGATTTCCGGACTTTAAATTATTCAAGATAAGGGAGAGATGGCTGTTGATGTCCATATAGAATTTCTCAAAACGAGAATCTTCTCTAGCTTCTTGCGACATTTGAGACGCTTGTGCGTATTTCGGCCTTGACGTCCGTTGATGAGTTGATGTTCAAGTTTACGTATGTCTCGTTTGTCCGCGTAATGCAGAACGCGCTTTATGTCTTCCCAGTCATCATCCTTTTTTGTCTAATATGCAAAATAATGGACCTAAACAGGGGCCTATTCCTTATTACATCGTAATCATCCCATATCGACTGGGCTTCATTTAGCCATGACAAATAGGCTTCCCGATGACCTTCGAACACTTGTAGTTCATTGACGCAATCAGGGAGGACTGATGTCTCTCTTAATAAGTAATCGGCGCACCAGGGGTTGCAACTACTGGGTTTGCATGTTCAATGTCCCCTTCTAGAATGGCCACCCTATCATTGGCCTTTTAATGTGTTCCTAAAGGCCTGCTACCACGTTGGTCAAGGCATTAAGCGACTTGCCAATTATGCGCAAGGTCTCTTCCATTTTAAACCTTCGTATCGAAAAGGTGGACGGGGTATTTTAAGCGAAAAAATTCTTTATTATGCTGAACGAATATTTGGTATAAAGATTTGCTATTGTATTTTGTATTTTTAGTGTTCTTTTTTTTTGAATTTGTAATATGTGGCAGGAAGATAAAATGAAATATTTCACCTACTCTTGTATGCTCTTTATGTATTGACGTTGTTACAATTTGTGTAATGGTACAACATGAGAGTTCTGTCGGGATAAGAAAAGAATGCGACTTTAGAATGTAATTTTTTTTTCTTTTTTATTTATTTTATCGCTATATTTCTTCTTATTTTGGTTGCGTGTGTTTTGCTTTTAATTTACTTAATTTTTTATTAACAAATTTTACTTAGTTTATTTAATTTGTTTAATTTATTTATTTATAAGATGTTTTGCTTAAATTATTTTATATACTGACTTTATTTATTTTCACAATATTTTGTTTAATTTATTTAATTTACTTGATTTAACTTTACAAATTATTTAATTTATTTTGTGCATGTGTCGTGACGAGGTGATGTGCGTAGAGGAATTGTTATTTGAAAGAGAAAGAAATTTTTGTTTGTCCTAATTTTTTAATAATTTTATGTTTTACTCGTTTTATCCGCTCCCAAATTGTTACACTATTGGCCCGGTGGTCCGTATTTGTTTTTGGCGTGTGCCTACTAAGGTACGGAGTGACACACAATCCACCACGGAGCTCTTTGATGGATCTCATCATAAGGCCTATCTGGTAGATTACCGCAAGCTAACAATGTACACTGTTACGTGAATTGTATTATGCCGGCGGCATTTAAAAAGATTTTCCAATGAGACATTTTTGTTTGTATTTAAATTTTTGCTTGTGTGTTTAGTTGCTGCTTGCAATATTTTGGAACTCGCATATTGGATTGCCGCAGTGAATAATTGCTTATTCTTATGTGTATTTGTTTAAATTTTATTTACGTAAAAAACAATGTTTTAGCACTCGTAAATTGTATTGCCGCAGTAAGTAATTGCTTTTACTAAAGTTTCATGGTGGGATCTAGTTGGCTACTCCGGATGGCTCTGGTGCTCGAGCGGGAGTGCTTCTGGGCTTTTTAGCCAAGAACCGGTTAACTCCTGGGTCACACGGAATAAGTGCTGATCGGGCACAACGTGACCCTCGGTGCCTTGCTCATTGTTGCTGACAGCGCTAGCCGAGTACTAGCCCACTTGGAGAACGATGACCAGTTTCAGCTTTGCGATGTGTAGGGTGAAGGGGGAGCGTACAGCTGGTGTTAGCTTATATATATATTTATAAATATAAATAAATACTTATATATATAAAATACTTATATGTATAAAATCATAAAATATTAAATAAGAACAGGGCAGTGTGATCTTGGTTTTGAATGAAAAGAGTTGTTGTGCTGGTACAGTAAAAGCGTATACTACATTCGTTGAAAAGAATATAACAGGTAGAAGGAAGTGTTTCCGAATATATAAAATATATATATTATATTCTTGATCAGGATCAATACCGGAGTCGATCTGGCCTTCTTTCCGTCCGTCTCTGCGTGCGTCGCGATCTCAGGAACTATAGAAGCTAGAAAGTTGAGATTAGGCATGCAGATTCCAGAGAAATAGACACAGCGCGTCTTAGTTTACACTTTAGTAAATACAAACAAATTGAGACTTTATGGTTTTAATTTTTTACAGCCTTTCTATTTAAGATGTATTCGCTTTTAATAAAGACATGATGAATACTTGATCGGTTCCATAAAAGCTTATGTGGTCCAGTCTTCTGCATCAGTATCTGTAAACATCGTCCAAATTAAAAATGTTAATTTTAGAATTAAAAGATAAAACATCTTATAACAAAGACATTTAATACTTTCATAAATGAATGCTGCTTTAACTAAAACATTAAGAATACACTCTAAGCAAGGAAGAAAGACGAACAGACGGACATGGCTCAGCGTAGCCAACAGCTGCGCTTTATGTGCTAACGCCGGGCGGCCTGCACAAGCCTCTCGCGAATAAGCACACAGAGCCAATAATTCGGTCGGGATCTGGCGAATGAGCAGTCGTAATGAAGGTCTTACGCTTAGTTTCAACGAAATTATAAAACTGCTCGGACCGTGCTAGAACTGAATCGTACAATGGCCTAAATAGTTGTACATATATATGTTATATATCTTACGGACATGGCAAGATTAACTAAGAATAATGTATTTGTTTTCAGTTAAATAGGAGAAGTATTCGCTTCCATTACTTACCGGGTTAGTTCTTTCATCGTTATCAATGTCTGAACAGTCTGAGCTCCAACTGCTATTTTCATGTTGATCCTTAACCGATAGTTCATTTACAATATTCTTATCTGATGAGCACGTTTTATCACTTCTGCTTTTCGTGTTTCGGTTGGAATCATTTACGGGGTGTTCTAAGCTTTTTCTTGATGGACAAAGGGTAATGTTGGGGGTTTTGCAAGAAGTTTTCTGCCATAGGCTTTGATGTCTTACGTTGTACTTCGCTATTTGATCGCCTTTAAGCTTTTCGAGTTGGTTAAATAACACCCTTTTAATTTCGGCAACCCACATATCTTTTACACCGATTGTTGGTGCTTGCAACGTATAAACTTCCTGGCGTCCCTTAAGCCAAACTTCAAATCGTTTTTCATCGCCGTGAACGGACTCAGTTAAGCCAACTTGAGACATCTACAATGTAAAACAATGTATGGAATACAATTTCTTACATAATTAACAAAAGTATTATATTATTATTAAATAGTATACCAGATTCGTCAAAAAGTATGTTACCTGTAGAAGAAAGCGATTCCGACCCTATAAAGTATGTACAGAGGTGGTCAAAAGTATTTACACAACGTGCTTTTTTTTCAATTGTCAACTTTGATCGCTTATTGCTGCTGCTTTTGTACTCAGAAACGAACATAACGGTATTTGTCGTGCTTCTACATCTATACAGAAGCAAACAAAAGATGAAGTGTAAAAAATAACTGTTCATGGGCTAAAAATAAAAGCATTGAACTGATGCTTGTCTGTTGTCAGAAGTATTTACACACAATTTTTACACGTCAAAATTATTTACACAGTGCAAATTGAAGATTAGTCTTTGATTTGCATTGAGTAAGTGAAGTTCTAGTTGATGTTGATCGCTTAATTGGAACTTAAACTAACTGTTAACAGTTAAATTAATAGATTAAATATAGATTAAAATAGATTAATAGATGAAAATAGATTAAATAGCTATCAGTTGAGCATCGAGCCGAGATTGTCACTAAATTTAAGGCTGGTACTTCTGCATCCAAATTAGCTGAGTTGTACAAAATGTCACGAAAAACTGTGTACAATTTAGTTAAAAAACAGGACACACTGGAAAATTTGGAAAATAAAAAGATAACTGCCCGAAAAGTTGCATTGAACCCAAGAGACTGCAGACACATTATAGGAGTTGTACTAAGTAATCCCACCATAAGTACCGTTAAAATTATTGCAGCTTCGACAAATTTAATTGGAAAACATATTAGCGATAGTACACTGCGTCGCAGAATGAAGGAAATTGACATCAACACCTATGTTGTTCGTGCAGTAGTTGATATTACCCCAAGAAACAAGGAAAAACGTCTCGCATTTGTCTTGGAGTATAAATAGAAGCCTCTCGAGTTCTGGTTTGATGTTTTATGGACTGCAAGCAATTTATGCATCTCCCAAAACAACTAAAGGGTAATGCCGTCCAGCCAATCAATCGGTTTGGTGGTGGCACGGTGATGTTCTGGGGCTGTTTAAGCTACTATGGATTTGGAGACATGGTACCGATAGAGGGTACACTAAATCAAACAGGATACCTCCATATCTTAAATGAGCACGCATTAACCTCATGAAATAGACTGTTCTCCACGAATGACTGGATCTTGCAGCAGGACAATGCTCCATGCCACAAGGGCCGAGTACCAACCAAGTTCTTGAAAGACATAAATCAGGCGGTACTTCCATGGCCCGCACAAAGCCCCGATTATAACATTATCGAAAATGTCTGGGCTTATGTTAGGAGTCAGAGGACATTTGAGAGAGATCGCCAGCGCGATGAAACTATAGCCGAAATTACGGAAATTTGGTCAAAATTACCTCTTTAGTTTGCGCACAACTTGGTCCGGTCAATACCAGCAAGGCTCCAAGCAGTCATTGATGCCAAAGGCGGAGTAACTAGATATTAGTTGGCTTAACATAATCACATATTAAAATAATATAAAATATTTCGTTTAAATTCAATAAAAAACGCAAAAATCAATTAACAAAGCTGTGTGTAAATAATTTTGACGTGTAAAAATTGTGTGTAAATACTTCTGACAACAGACAACCATCAGTTCAATGCTTCTATTTTTCCCCCATGAAATACTTTTGACAACCTCGGTATATTCTTAAGGAATTAAATTCATATATTAGAAACTAAAAAAGTTGGAAAATTGAGATTAAGCACGCAGACTCATAGCGCTAGCTTGCTTCCTGATGTTGCTAATCCCACTCTAATGCCCACAAAAGCTACACCCACACTTTTAAAAAATGTTTTTATTTTTTTTTTTCATTACAAATTTTTTAGTTTTTTTTTGTTGCCCCGCCCATTCTAACGTGTACAAAGCGCCTAAAACTGCCACGTATACCCAAAATATTTTGGGCAAGTCACTTCAGCGCCCACAAGCCACTCAAAACTGTCAATCCTACATATTTAAAAAATTTTGAATTACAAAAAATTGTTCTTTGTCAATTTTTATTGATATGCCAAAAAAATGTCTAAGTTTTCGTTCGCACTTCCACTCAATGAATAATGGTTATCTGACGGTCTTGAACCTCGAATATATCGTTTTCTCATGTTAACATTTCCAATAACGCCTTTTATATATTATAACATGTGACAAACCAACAAAGACGAACCAAAGTAATCTCCTCTCTCTACGTTGTTTTTTATTGATGCCACAATGATTACTCATCACCAAGTCATTCACCAAAAAAAGTGATCAGTAAGGATCGAATTAAAAGAATGCTAAAGTCGAGTTCCCTGACTATCTGATACCCGTTACTCAGCTAGTGGAAGTGCGAACGACAAATTTCATAATTTTCTGGAATATCGGTAATAATTGCGAAAAAAACTTAAACTATGAAACAAAAATTTAAAATTTTTTCAAAAGTGTTGGCGGTTTGTGGGCGTGGCAACATTTGGAAACAAACTGCGTCTATGTCTCTGGAAGCGTCATGCCATTCTAGCTTTTATAGTTCCTGAGACCTCGACGTTCATACGAACGGACAGACAGACGGACGGAAGGACGGACGGACGGACTGACATGGCCAGATCGACTCGGCTATTGATCCTAGTCAAGAATATAATATATATACTATGCCTGTTACTTACTTTTCCACGAATTACTCAACGAGTAACGGGTATAACAAAACTGCTATGCAGTGTATCTTGCATCTGCTTGCATCGATCTATTATGTGAACTAAAACTGAGCTGTATTTATATCTTAAAAATATAGATTGTACTAAAGGCGTCTACATGCCTTATCTTTGTTCGTGATCGATGTTATATTTCGTAGTTATAGTCTTGTAAAAACATTGCCGAATCGCTGTATAGCCTTTCGATCAGACGGCACAAGAAAATTTGCTTGGTGTGATTGAACCGTTATCAACGATGTAACCAAAAAAAATGTACCCTGCTCTGCAAGATTTTACACTTAGCACTTTAGATTCGCAGTCCGTTCTGTTCCCTAACCTTCCACTTCGTCTTTAGTTTGAATTATAGTGCCAACATGAAAATACACATCGGTTAAGTCCAATGCTGTGAAAATGTTCCCTCACAGTTTTCTCGTTAAATTTACTATTGTCTTTCCTGTTTTGCAACACCTCGGTGCTAATGCGTAAAATGCGACAACTTTACTTGAAGCTTGCTTTTTGTTTACTATATAGATACCATGCACAATCTTTGGTATTCGTTTAGCAATTTCATCGAAGATCTTCGATCCTGTACCCATATTGAACCTGCTGTTTCAGTTTTCACACCACCTGATTGATTGTATAATCTTGGTAGGACCTAGGTTAAAAGAAGAGTTCCACCTAAAATCACATGAAATTTCATGTCTTCATCGGCTAAGTGGAATTTTACTTACAGATCTCTGCCATCTCAAACATTTCCCACCTGATGTCAGGTTCCCTTTTCCGAGCTATAAATTAATGACATAGAAAACGAGGATCTGCTTCCATATCCAAAAATCCCTTGAACTCTAGGCTTGAAGACGTAAACACGTTTGTTGGCTTTGTCTTGCTTTCCAGCTGTACTAAATTTGTGTTCTTTTCTTGTTTGTCTACATTTCATTGAGCAGCCTTGGGCTTTGGTTGGTTGCTTGAAAAACATTTGTTGTCTCATTTTGAACAATCTCGTCTCCATACTAGAAACATTTCCTGACCTTCCCAATCGCTCATAAGAACTTTTTCTCATCATCAATGGAGTAAGAGTCATTACTTGACTTACTTTGCAGATGGTTGCTTCTCTACTTGGAATTTTCAATTGCCTCATAGTTCTTGACTTGGTATAGTAAAGTCTTTTTTACCTTGGAGTCTGGAACACCTTCAAAGAAGTATTCGATAAAGATTATGATACAAGCTGGGTAGCCAAACACATTACTTCGTCCTCGTAGTTATTACCCGTTACTCGTACAGTAAAAAGGAATGTAACAGGCAAGAGGAAGCGTTTCCGACTAGACCGTTGAGACTTAGCATGCAACACCCACAAACCGACGAAAAATGTAACGAACACACTTTTAAAAAATGTTTTGATATTTTTTTCAGTTTTGTATTGGTCTTGTAGAGTTCTATAGGTTAAAAAAAAAAAACATTTTGCCACGTTCACAAGCCGCCAACAACTGTCACTCCCAAATTTTTTTATACGTTTTACTCGTACAGTAAAAGGGTATACTAGATTCGTTAAAAGGATGTAACAGGTAGATATAAGCATTTCCAACTATATAAAATATATACATATATTCGTGCTCAGGATCAAAAGCCGAGTCGATCTGGCCATGTCGAGATCTCAGGAACTATAGAAGCTAGAAGTTAAGATTAGGTAAGCGATTCTAGAGACGCAGCACAAGTTTGTTAAATGATGTTGGCATGCACAATCTAACGCCCACAAACCACCCGAAACGGTATGTTTTTTTTTTTATATTTTTCCATTTTTTTTTTTATTAATTGTGTATATTTCTATCGATTTGCCAAAAATGCCACAAATGTACATATATGAAAAATTTTTAGATATTTTTGATTTTTTTAATGTTTAGTAAATTTCTATCGATTTGCATAAAATCTCTTTTCCACGCCCACTCTACCGCCCAAAACTGTCACGTAAACACTTCCTAATTTATATTTTCAATTTTTTTAATTTTATTATTTTTTACCAATTTCTACCGATATTTCGGAAATTGTTGAAATTTCTCGCTCGCACTTCCACTAGCATAGTAATGGGTATCTAATAGTCGGGTACTCGACTATAGCGTTTTCTCTTGTTTTAAACTAGAGGAATGGACTTGCATTCTTTGACGTCGGCTTGTCGCCATGTGGACTGTTTATTGAGATGTGAGAAAATTTATTGCACTTAAAACAAGTTTTCTGCTCCATAAAGCAGGGATTTGTTTAATGACAGTACATTAATTCCGTCGATCACATATTGGATGAGAACGAATTCTTCCAGAACACATGCGTTAACACGTCGTTTTCTCTCCCCAAGTTGCATGTGTATTGATTGGTTTGCTGCTCACTCTCCATCTGAGGTCGTCCAACAAAGACTTTTTTAGGGTACTCCAAGAATTTAATCCCTTTTCGCTTAACAAAAAAAAGTTCGCGACACCTTTAAACGATTTGACAAACATAAGCTTTTGTATTTCGTTCCAACACATTATCACAGCTTGGTCTTTCATTAGAATTTAATCGGTGTCATCATGTCACGAAAATTTTATGTTACTGAACTAGCAAAGGAGATATGCTAAATATAAAGAAGAAAATTCATCACCACGAAATATTTATACTAGATGTGATGAAACGTATGTAACTGGCAAAAGAACGTTTTCCAACCATATAACGTTTAGTAGTTCTTGTAGTAAATATATGAATATGCAACTTCCACTACCAGTCAAGGAACTCGACAATAGCATTCTCCCTTATATACATTTAATTTCATCACTTAAGCTCTGTCATTCGTTTCCCAAGCAGTGAACGGATAGAGAGTCAGATGGAGTACTTAGCAAGACTCCAATAATATGCAAACAAAAGCGATATGCCGCTTTGCCTCCCATAAGATATGACTCACCTTAACATCGCTTTTAAATTGATAGCTGCTTTTGTCATGTCCCGGCTTTGATATTTGCTTACAAAGCAGTAAAGACTTTTGATATAAAAAGATATGTCGCCGTTTTGGCTTCATTCGAAGACGAATGTCCTTTTTAGACTCTATCCATACCTGGAATGAGTCTTGCATCAAAAGATCACCCTGTTGTGCTAAATCACTCTTGAAAAAACGCAATTAATGTCCGATTTATTATTTATTTGGAAAAGGAGTACCTACCGGAAACCCTGTTATTGAAATTTGGTGCATCGAATCGTTTACGCACTTCAAAACGATTAACATACAGTCCAATGCATTTTTAAGTTCATTTCTGCAGCTATCATTATCAGTGAAGAGCAGCAAGTCCTTTAAAAGAAGTTGGTATTTTGTAATTCTTTGAACTGGCTTAAGCAAATATGCAGCCAGAGGAAGTTTATGACCAAGTCTTATTTGACATTCTTGGAAAAACATATGAGTATCCACTAAGGTTTCACGTAATTTTTCTGAGCGTTGGATATTTTGACAATAAAATGAGTACAAATGATAAAATGTGTCTCGCTGTAAAAGAAACTGTTTTAAAAACTCTTTGCATAATTTGATTAATCGTACCCTTTTGGCGAAGCATAGTGCGACGCGTTCAGTGACTGATATGCAGTTCTCAAGATCCTTAAGGAAAACATCTTTATGAAATGAGTAGAGCTCATGAAGATTCCCAAAGATCACATTTGCATTGCCTTGCAAACTGGCAGGAGCTCTTTCGTCAGACTTCAAGCGATCATAGTAGCCCTAAAAATCATTACTCATTTTAATATATTTAATTGTAACTTATAAGAACTATGATCTAGAAAACTAAATAAAAATTTTAATGCAAAAGCATTTAAATGTATTTATTTAATGCATTGATTTTGTAAAACTTTTGTACGAAACAGAACTCAGAACTATCGATAAAACAAGAGAGAACGCTATAGTCAACTCGACTAACCCCGACTATCAGATATCCGTTACTCAGATAGTGGACGTGCGAACAAAAAATAAAGATAGAGATGAGAAAAACAATAAAATGAAATAAATAAATGGGCAGTTTGTTTTTGTCAAGTTTTTTGTCATATCTATTGTAATTTTCAAGACTTATAAAAAAATTAAAATATATCCAAAATTTTCAAAAAGGTGGACAGACACAGGTAGATAAATAATCAGAAAGAGACCTTAAGACCTAACAGCCCTCTCAAACTTTCCCCACTAACTGGTAGACATTGGACTTCACAGAAGTAGACCTGAAAGGGCCTCTCAAACCATTCTCACCTGGGTAGACCTAAAAGCCCTTTCAAACTTTCCCCACTAACTGGTAGACATTGGACTTCACAGAAGGCACGCACGCATCCTCCGGCGAGTCCCACATCGACCGGCACGGCAGGATAACGACGGCATTCAGATCCACCAAGAAAACAGCCGTCGCCTTGAAGACTATTGTAAACCTATTAACTACCCACGAATAAAGACCCAATCGCCAATTACTGTATAATTTCCTCATCTTCTCCTGTGGGACTGGGTCGGGATTTCGCACAACAACCCCCCCTGAACAAAATATAAATTCCTGAGACGAATCCTGACCATCCCTGAGCCATCCGATGATTGACAGATAACAGGTGTCTGATTGTCGAGACACTCGATTATATGCAGCTGTGCTTTACAACTTTTCAACATCATTTTGAACCTCTTTCTGGTGGCCAATGCTTCTTTCCTTTTTTGTGTTTTGAACAATTTGAACAATTTTTGATGTCTTTTATCTTATCCTTAAGTCTTTCAACAATCTTTCCTTTCTGCTCTACCCCAAAAAGCATTTTACTTGGAAGTTGTATAATACTTCTATGTAATGTATTATTAAGGGCATGCTCAATATTATCTACGACATTATCCTTGTTATTGACCGATTCGTGACTACATGTCGCGAAGGATCGATAGGACAGCTGTAGTGCGATCTCAATGGAAAGCAGAGGTTTTATATAGCTCTTAAAAAAGTTGTTTGTGAAATTGAATAATTCATTTATAAATGACAATAAATTGAAAAGTCTTGTTAAAAGCTTTTTAATTAACGGTCGGCTGCAACAATCCCAGTACACTCCTTAACTCTAATCAACTAATTTCGCTAACGTCGATCCAAGACTCCTGTAAGTCCCTTCTACTTGACATAAAATTGTATCCCATTATCATTTGCTTTTCTGTACACTATACCGTTCCCCATTTCAAATAACTTAAGTGCTCTTTTCTAACAGAGTTTTCAGTTTCTTAAATTAAATTCTCTTCAAAACGTCTAGTTTCTAGTACTAAGTATTATTAGTTGAGTGCATCAACATGTTGAATTTTGTTCCCAGCTCTGTGACAGATCATAGTTTTTCACTTTCAAAGCCCATCTGGATATCTTTGGATTAAGATTTCCATTATATAGAGGCAATACAGTCGGTCACCAGGTTGACGTATTTGTAATTTGTAATATTTGTAATTTTATCCTAAACCTACAAACGCATAAGACTATGTAATTTTGTCTCTTCTGCTGCGGTACGCTTAGAGAAATAGAATACGGGATCGTTCTTCTTTTGTAAGCGCACCGCACCAAAACCAACGCGCTCGCGTCGAAATGTAATTCTATGTCATCCTTCTAATTATATAATTCTAATACCGGTGCCTCGATACAATTAATTTCTTCTGCTCCAAAATGCTTTGTCAAAAAGGTCATTCCATTGTTTTGGTATTGTAGAAATTTTATAAATCTTTAAAAATATAAAACAAGGATCGGAATATCTTTAACGTGCTGGCGGCTCGTAACTGTTTGACCTGATGTTTCGTTGCGTTTTCCCGTAACTATTTGAACTATTGTTTAATTCGTATCATTCATAACTGCTTGCTCTGCTTATGAAATTTCAGTTCTAAATTCGTTATAGGCAATATCAGATCTACACTAGCTTTCGTTCGGTTATGTTCTAATTAATTTTCTACTAAATATCTAAATTTATCTATCTAAATCATACAAAAAATCTGCCCAAAACCACTTCATGGATCATAGCCATACCCATTAGCAACAACCGTTAAATGAAAGTAGCATTTTTTTCTTCCTTTAAGTATAAAACATAACATTTTTCCCCTTTTTTTTATTGGCAAAATATTGTTCCGAGACTTCATGAAATTGGGCTTCAATAGGCTTCAATGGGCTTCAATTGGACTGACAGAGGGTACATGCTGTAACCATAGGAGATATAATTCGACTGTCAAAATAAGTTAAGGCTTGCTCAAACGCTCTAAAAATTTGCATAGAATCTTTAAAGCATCAATTTTTGTGCGGGTATTCCCTCGAATCGCAAACACCATCTTAGCTTTATAATACACTGAGAATTTTTCATTTTAAATTCTTAAATGTTCGCTGTGCTTCTGCTTTTGGAAAATATATTGCGGAATGCTAACATCAGCTGCTCCAACAGATTCTCTGCCGGTTCCATGATGCCTGTTGATGCGTGCAAGCAGCGCTGGGCTATGCCCAAACATTAAAACACGACAATCCAATCCATCGATAAGCCATGATCATTTCTTTGTCCAACGCAATTGAAATATTTGATTCACATCTTTTATTTACAACTGCAATTCGTGGTTATTACCATCGATATCACCACCATTATCGATAACGGCACTTCTGTCGGGCTTTGGCATTTTTCCACCAACTGCTTTTTCGATAATATTCTTATTGACCACTGCTTTTTTTTACTATTTCGCCTTGGCTGCGGTTTTCGGTCATTGGGTCACTCTTGGTGAAGAAATTCTTATTTGTGCAGGAATTTTCTGGAGCTCCTTTTTGTCAGCCTCGATCTTACAGCGTGTGTGTTGTAGAGCCAACACTCCTTCAGCTATAGCAAACCACTCGTCTCCCTTGGGCTACCTTGACCAACTTTTGGGCTAGATACGGGTTGGGCTCGTTTCCAGCCTCTGATAATGAACAACACCTTTCGTGAGTTTAGCCTTGTTGCCACTGGTTGGTACGTTAGGTGCCGCCAACCACATTTTTAGCTAGACGACCGTAAATTGCTGCACATGTGAAGTTTATGGCCTTTAAAATGTATATATTTTTATTTATTTTAACAATCGACTGCTCTTTTCAACTTCTGGTTCACAACTACTTTCTCAACATGGAGTCAGTCTTAATATAAACGTGGCTGTTTCAGAAGATTGACACTTCCAATATTTCATTTTTATAGCCGGTAATCGTAGAATAAAATGTTAAACTAGATTTGTAAAAAAGAATGTTACAAGGAAGAATACAAGTCTTTCAACCTTTTGTGGGCATAGCCAAAGCGACTCGGCTGTTGATCCTGATCAAGAATATATACTTTATATGGTTGGGAAGAATTCCTTCTACCTGTTACATAGTTTTTCACGAATCTAGTATACCCTTTTACTCTTCGAATAACATGTATAAAAAATACGGTATGCAGGGGTATGGGAAAATTGTTACCTAATTAATGCAAAGGAATCCTAGCTTCATTGTTTCATTGCATCATTATTTTATTTTAATTTTAATTTGAACAAAATCGGACGACTATAGCAACAGTCACTGTCATAGCGCAACAGTCGGATCCGGACTCTATCGAATACAGCTGTCATAGCAGAAGTCGGAATATAAATTAAAAGTTTTATAAAATAATGTAATTTATTTGTAAAAATGTCGTTGTTTTGTTCATAAATTCCTATTTGGTAGACAACAGACATTTATACCATTTGCAAGTATACTAAATTTGTTGAAAAGTATGTAGAAGGTACAAGAAAGCCCGACCTTACAAAGTATGCGTCTAGGCTCGCCTCTCTCTTGCGTTCCGTTGTAAGCTTTTCAATTAAGTCGCTCTTGTCATTCGCTTTCGTAACCTATGCATATGCGCATTATAAATTACATTCTTTCGAAACCTCAACATTTAAATCATTTAAATTTATAATAATAAAAACTAATAAAAAAGCTTATTAGCTCAGCGTTTCGGGACCCCGACGATTTGTGCATAAACAATACCTAGTGCAAATAATACATAATTAAAACGCTCTGCTAAGACCGCTGGTTGAGCACCAAACATTTGCTTGCAACATTAAAAAAATTGATTAATTTCGTTTTACAAGTTCTTTCTTCATGAGAGATTGGAGCTCATCGATAATCTTCAACAAACATTCAGAAAAATACTGAACAAACTCAAAGTACTGGATTTTTATGTAATTAAAAGTAATTTGTATGAGAAATTTACTGGCCTACTTGAGCTTCCGAAGTTCGCTGGAGGCTATGCTAATTGTCTAGACTTTCATTCTATGTTTACTACGATAGCCATCCTGACCTCACAAACATAGAAAGCATCATCATAGAAAACATCCTATCCGCCTTTCTTGAAACCAATTTTAACCCTTCGACCTGTGCCATCTTTGCATAAATTGCCTTAAGACTGGCCATGAACTGAAGCAGTGCAATTCCGTCAATTGCCGAGCATGCGGATCTAAGCACCACACTAGCCTTCCCCTGGGAATCTTGGCCTCGCCTTCATCACAAGAAAGATTGCAGCATGGAGAAACTCTGGTCTCTGACTCAAAAATTGCCGTAGCATCCTGGGACGTCTGCTGCTCTTCTCGCACAATAAAGATGTTGCGCTCCTAGCAACTGCCGCCGTATTAGAGAAAAATCTTTCAGGAACCTTTGTTCCTTGCCGTGCTTTTCTCAAGTCGGGCTCTTAACTTACCTTATAAGATCCCGATTCGTAAATCAGCTTATTCAACTTAAGAACTTCCGCTTGCATTACCCGAATAGGCGATTCAAGATTTGAGACTGATGGTTTGTCAGATGGTTTCAATGCGATCTCGAACGTCTGAATACTTGACCGACATTGCTGTTATTTCTTCCAATATGACAGAATGTCAGCCCACCTTTAACATTGACATTTGCAGCTGGAAAATAACCCAAAGTGTTAAGCTCGCGAACTCAGAATTTCATCGTCCTCATATTTTTTTGATTGGCGCCCCTAATTCAAAAGGGTTGTTTCTGGAGGTTGACAATCTCCATGACCATCTCTGACCAATATAACTCACATTCGTCTCAGCATTCGATCCCAGTTTTGGATTATTTTCCTTAACAAATCTTGGAACATTAGGGGAATTTTAAGGCTATCTAACTCATTTGTCTTGCTTCATTAAGCTAGTTAGACGTCAGAAAAACTCTTCGTTTGATTTCAATGACCACACCCAACCATCGTACCATTATATAATGGCTATAATAACTGGGTGATCCCTTGGTACGATGGTTCGTCTCAGCATATTTCGATCCCAATATTGACCTATTAATGGGAGGAAAACTGTAATTAAGACAGTAAGGAAGTGCGTCAGGTGTTTCCTCATGCGTTTGAAGTTACTGGCACCGACTTTTGTGGACCATTTTTCTCCACGCCTGAGGCTTCTGAGATATGGTGCAATTGGGCTCTACGATACATCAGGTGTGCAATAATATTATTCGACGTCTATGCAGAGAAGCTGCCGGAGCATCTAAGCTCTCTCTTTCTCTGCTGTTTATAGCTTTACGGTTTAAAAAATATTTATATATTTTTAATTTAGTTGTTTTTTTGCCAACTTTTAGATATGTGCCAAAACGGGTATTCGACAGGCGATGGTCTTGACTATAGCGCTCGCTCTCTCTCTTGTTTTCCTTTCAATGTGTTTTCTATCTCAATCATTTTACTTACCTTTAAGATTGACGCTATTTCATTAACGTATATTTTCTCCGTTTCAAAAAGTTCCCTTAAAACATGACCACGTCTGTGTCGATGCATTTCTGTGTCCTAAAAAATATAATTTTAAATAAATTATAAATAGGTAAAGCGTACAATTTTGAGAAAATGAATTTGAATGACAGTTGCGGTAAAAAATATTTTATATTTATTCAACCGATTTTTGATTTGTACTTTGTAGACTTTGTTTCCTACTGAGCAACTCCTTTCACTTGCAGCTTATAGCTTGCAGCTTGGGCATTTTGGGCAAGTGAATCAAACGAGCTTACATTCTTTGACGGCTTCTGAGATCTCTCTACTGAAATGCCAGTTTTTTGCATGTCTATCTCGAATGATCCGCTGTAGTGTTTCTGGCCTTTTACAAATGTAAAGCTTCTTTTGGTGTTTCCTAACGTTCTGCCATTTAGTTGTCCTTGAATTATTTTTTTTTTCATTTTGATCCACTCTGGTATTCATTGCAGCCCTGATACACACTTCGTTGTTGCCTGTGGCGTCTATTCTCATGGGAACACACTGATGTCTTCCTATTCTGACACTTAAGACACCTACAACTATTATGTTTGCCATAGAAACCTATAGATTAGCATTACACTGCTTATTTTATTGAAGTTGCAAGCTATTGCAGTTCAGATATGTTTGGATTTTATTAAGGGCCTCATCTCAAACATAATGGTCTACCATTTTATATTATTTTTTGCGATTTTGTGTGCGTTTGTTTCCTTTTCTAGATTTTTAGTTCCTTGAATTTTTTTTTGAAAGCGAATAATGTTTTTAAGACTGTGCCTTAGCTTCGTGACTTGTATTTTTTTAAGCTACCTAAGAACTGGGCTTGCAGGTTAGCTGTTAATATCTATCGAAACCCATTCACCTGCCCTCTCATATTCTATCAATTTCGAAAAGCTATTCACTGATAGTAAATCTATTTTTGAGTTGAGGTAGAGCAGGCTCGTGTTCTTTTCATTGCTGAATAAGATCCCTTTCAACCTAAATAGAAGATCCTACTTGTTTTTATTCTAGTCTTCAATATTTCCGACGTCATGGATATCGTTTCCATTTCTGCCAGAAGTTCCTTTTGTTCCCCTCCTTTTTGCTACTGCTACAACGCATCATCAACAGCTCTATTATCTGCTTTGTGGCGTCTTCTTTAATGAACCATTTTTTCAAGTCTTGCTGCTTTGCACTAATTGGGTGAACTTCATCTGGTCTCTTTTTTAATTTCAGTTGTTAAATGCAGCCTTTCAGTCTCATTCGCTGGTCTTAGGTTGCACATGTTCATTTTAATGGCTATGGTCGTACCGTTGGTCCATTTTGTCGATAACTTGCAGCCATCATGATGCAGATGGCTTCTTTTATGTTTTTCTTCCTGCAAAAAGCAATGTCCGATCTGCCCGCACAAGTAGGCGTTCACAAACACATGTTAGGCAATGTGCAGTGCCAAAACCCCTCTGGGTAACCACCCAAATTTTCGTTCCTCGACTTTTCCTGATCATCTGATGTTTTATATTATATACAAAATTAAAATAATTTAACGTTTCTTACTGTACAAGCTAGAATATTGAAATTAAGCTCGCAGCTTCTAGGGCCAATTTGTTTCAAAATGTTGCCACGCCCACAAACCGCCCAACTGCCACGCTCAACCTTTTTATCTTTTTATTAGCCTTGTAAATTTCTATCTCAAAATCTTTTTGCCACGCCCATTCTAACGCCCACAAACCGCACAAAATTAGCACCCCACACATTTGAAAATGTTACTTATTTTTAAAATTTTTTTTTCGCAATTTCTACCGATATTTCAGAAAATGAAGATCGCAACAAATATAGACGTTATTTTTAGCCTTCTTAACTAGCTCATTTAATTCGCATCGAAATTGGCTGTAATTTTAGTTAAATTATCTAACCATAAAATGTTAATTACCTGCGGATTTTTAAATATTTCACTGAATTTTGAAAGATGTGTATCGCTGCCATCGCTGCTTCCTTGTGTTAAATCCTTAATATCCTCAGCCTGCAAAATAAAATGAGAATTGAAATTAAAAGCTAGCTTTTAATTATATTTTTTATACATTTAATTATTTTATTATATATTAAAAGAAAGAGAGAACGCTTTAGTCGAGTTCCTCGACTATCAAATACCCGTTACTAGTGAAAGTGCGAACGAGAAACGAGCAGAAATAGGGAAAAACAATAATAAAAACAAAAACACTTATAAAATATTTCAGAAGTGTAGGTATACCCATATAATACTTGGTATACCCATAGAATTTTTCAAAACAAATAATAAAACGAAAAAAAAAATTAATACCAAAACATCTTTAAAAATGGGCGCAGGAGATTTACGAAGTTCGTGGGCGTTAGAAATTGGTAAAAAATAAAACAAACAAGATAGAATGCTATAGAATGGCAGTAAGAGTTTTGGGCGGTTTTTGGGCATTAGCAAATCTATAGAAATTTACAAGTTATAAAAAGTGAAAAAATATCACATTTTTTGACAGGCGTGGGAAAAATTTGCTTTGAAAATATATTGAAATGTACAAGATATATTTAAAAATGAAAAAAATCGCAGTTAAAAACAAGATAGAATTATATAGTCGAGGACCCCGACTATCAGATACTTAGCTAGTGGAAGTGCGAACGAGAAATTTCTTAATTTTCTGGAATATCAGTAGAAATTGCGATAAAAAAATATAATGCTATAGTCCAGTTCCGCGACTATCAGATACCCGTCACTCAGCTGGTGGAAGTGCAAACGAGAAATTTCAACATTTTCTGGAACATCGGTAGAAATTTGGAAAAAATAATAAAATGAAAAAGAAAATTTAAAAAAATTGGTCGGTTTGTGGGCGTGGCCAAAAGTTTTTGGCAAATCTTTAGAAATGTACAAAATATATTAAGAAATGAAAAAATATCACAAAACTTTTCAAAAGTGTGGCCGTGACAGTTTTGCGCGGTTTGTGGGCGTAAGAGTGGGCGTGGCAACATTTCAAAACAAACTTGGGCTGCGTCTATGTTTTTGGAAGCTTCATGCTTAATATCAACATTATAGCTTTTGTAGTTATTGAGATCAAGGCGTTCATACGGACAGGCGGACGGACAGACGGACTTTATATAGCCTTTAACGGGTATAATTATTTTGAAATATAGATAAAAATAAAATAAATATATGAAATTCAAAATATTTATGCGGGCTGATGATCAAATTTGACAAGGCAACTAATGTTTATTAGTTAAAATAAAGAAAATAAAAGAAAATATATAATTACATTTTTTAAAAATATTGGCGTAACGATTTCCAGAAGTTAGAGAACGTAGCAAGTTCGGACAACGTAGGCATTACGAGAATCTACATGCTTAATCCTAGCTTTCTAGTCTTTATAGATGCCGGGATTACAGCGTTCATATGGACAGTTAGACGGAAATTTCTAGCTAATTAATGGAAAACAAATCGTAGCTTCGTCGTTTTGATCATAAAGTGTTAATATTCGGTATACCCGTTTTTTGACAAATTTTAATTTTAATTTGGTTATAATCGGACGACAATATTATGAAATGTCATAGGGAAGTCGGAAAATGTATTGAAAATAAAATTGAATAACAAAAAATCATCGACTCGTTTTTTGTTATCATAAACTGTTCTAATTCGACACCACCTTTTTGACAAAATTTAATTTCCTTTTTAATTTGTTTAAAATTGGATGACAATCGGATGCCATTTATATGAGCATAGGAGAGGTCGGAAAATTAATTAATTGAAAATAAATTAAATTAAGTAATTAAATAACAAGAAGTCATACAATCTTTTTTTATCATAAATTGTTATAATTCGGCATACACCAGGTTTTCGACAATATATAAATTTGGTTTCAATTCAATTGGACGAATGATATACATATGTATATTTAGATGCCATCGTAATAATCGAAAAATTACTAGTTTTTGATGGAAAAGAAACCCCTGCTTTTTTGGGGTCATACATTGTGCTGTCTCTTTTTTTAATATTAAAATTTTAAGACTATATAAGCTTCGGCTTGCAGAATTTCTCTTTCTTGTTTTAATAAATTTCACTGATAGTTTATGACTAACACATGCCTTAGCGAACCCCTGTCTCAATTGCAATGCTGACAAAAACTTTACAAGCCCGCAAAAAAACAACAAATGGTATATTCATTACAATTCTTGTTGTATATTCAGAGACTGCAACGAAAAGCGTAAGCAAAGTTTCTCCTTTTATGAGTCCAATTTCGTTTTCTTTCATATTTTAAGCAATGAATGAAATGTTGTACGAACAATTTAAAAAAATTTTCATAGCAGACTTTTCTAAAAATTCGGAGTTTAGTGTTTTTTCATTCAAATTAAATTAATCCTACACTGCCATTATGCAAAATTTTTCAAAAAGTTCGAATATCAAGTAGATTTCATTTATGGTATTTATTTTTTAGTTTGTACAGAACTTTGTACTTTATTTTGCAAAAGTTTATCATCTCTACAGATGTATAAGACTCACCTTTACCAAATTAATGGTTTTCCGTGAAAGTTTTTCATCTACTCCACTCTCGTGTAGGCTTTGTGCGTTATTGGATTTTATGTCAACGCTTAAACTTTCATCAAAGTATGAGCAACCATCATCATTACAAAGAGACGCGCAGCAAAAGCTTGATGTTATGTTTTCTTGAAAATCGTCATACGCCGTGTTCCAAAAAACACCTTCCACTGCATTTAGGACATCCTTGGAAAGGTCGTTATTGGGAGTTGGGATACATTGGTATTCATTACATTCGCAGCAATCTTCTTCGGAATCGCATACAGAATCTTTGTTTAAGCAAGACCCATCGCAACTACACAATGAAACAGAAGCGCTTGATGAAAAGTCACTTGATTGTGGCCTAATAAACTTTCTAAATTCTTTTAGTTCGCTCCGGTTGCCAGTAGGAAAAATTGTGTCACAATCTTTATTATATGATCTGATAAATTTGAATGAATTCATTTTGCTCATGGATACTAGATAAGGATCGTTATTGTAACAGTTTCCGCTGTCATTGGATTTGTGATCCTCTTCTCTCATATTCAGATCATTTAATTTGCGCTCTAAGTCAATGTTACACTTTTTTGTGCTTTGTGCGGCAGCTTTAAGCAATTCATTGGTTGTAGCCTTAATCAAATTCTTTTTTAAAAAGTTCTGCAAATCGTTAGGGTCCCCATTGTCCCTCATTTGTCTTTCATTTTCCTTGCTCAATTGGAGTTTTTGAATATTTTCGTAATAATCATAATCCACGTTATGGAAAGGTTTGCATTGCTTGCTACAAGGAACTTTATTTAGTATTGCTTTTTTCATATGTAAATCTTGGGAAGTTGAACAAGTTTTGTAGTCGTACTTTATATCGCTATAATTGGTCTGGCGAAGTTCTGCTTCTTTCATCGCCATCTTGCCCTCAGTGGTTATCAGTGGCCGACGATTTTTTATATACGCACGATCTAACATTGTTGCCTGTTGGAGAATACACCCCTTATTTTCTTCGGGAGGTGACTCGGAGTTATAAGCGCTTAATTTACTGCTGCTACTGACGTCCCCAATTCTAGTGTTCTTAAATATCCAGTCTGGTGCACGTTGATCGAAGCCGGTTTCGTTAAGTTCCGTTACGGGCTTAAGAATTTGGGCCTCTGGTTTTAGATGGGTGCTGGTCTCAATGCGTGCAATGCGGTCTGCTCGCGATTGAATTCCGCCAGCCTCAGTTAGAAAATACGAGTAGTCACACTGACCTTTCAAGCTATGCGGCTGATTACCATCATTTAGATTAGCATCAAACTCTGTGGCGGCAATGCTTAGATTGTGGCAAAAGCAAGAGGATTGTGAAAAAGCGTCCTGCGCCTTAAGCGTTGGTATATACTCCTTTTCTTCACTTTTATTCAAGACCAATTCCAAAGAGTGAACTTTTGGTTCAGTCCTAACGGTATTCGACCAGAGACTGCGACTGGTTTTATGGCTATGCTTGGCTTGAGAAAGATTTCTTAGTGGCCGGCGGTTTTCTACAAAACGAGTCTTTTTACTTCGACGCGCAGCAAAATGTGGCTCGCTCGACCTGTACATAATAGCGTTCTTGCCTTGGTGTATATAATTTGTTTTAAGCAGTTCCATTTTGGGTACATAGGTACTGTTACGCGAATCTGAATCTTCTCCCATCTCTCTGGAATGCATTTGCCACTTGGGAACAGACATTTTTTCTCAAATGGTTTGTGATAAACTAATAAGTGTTTTCCGCCTGGCGTTATACTAATTATTTTGTTGTAACATTTTTACGAATCTGGTGCGCTTGTTTTTTCACATAGAGAATCTCGGTTTATTTTCACATTTATTTAACCAAATCGAATAAGGTGTCTGTTGTTAAAGCCCGGCACTCGCCATTGATTATAAGTACATTCGAAAAAGGTTTCTTTTGTTTAAGCCCGGCACTCGCCATTGAGTATAAGAACATTCCGACTCCGACGCAATGTAGTTGCTACATCAAAAGATCAAATCACACTGTAGCTGCGAAAGCAGGTAACAGAAGTTGCGGTCTTAAGTTGTTTGATTCGCTGAAACTAATATTTTTAATCGCGCTGTTAGAAAATACTGTTAATGCCCAAACCACGAATCGGGATAGATTGTTAGAAAAAAAGAGAGTTCGTTTTTGAAAAGACCCAATTCGTTGGATGTTAATACGGTAGGTTAATAATTTTCAGAAAAGGTGTTTTTTACGAAAAAACCTAATTGAGAAAAAATAAATTTGTATGGGGTGTCTAAAAATTAGCGATACATACTTATGTTATGAATTGGAAATTTAGTTTATTAGTTTTTGATTATTCTCACCTTTCTATTAAGCAAAAACCATTGGAACTCAGTAAATAGTCTGTCTTTCATTCTTGTAATACATCTTATAAAATCGCATGCAAAGGTCATAAACAAATTTCCAATTTTGTTGTTCCTTTTCTTTAGTATTCCTTTGTAAGTAACAGTGACAGATAAAACTAACAAAGAATAAAAAAAAACGTTTGCTATGATAACGATATGCCCATACACGTATATTTAAAGATTTAACTTTAAGCATACGTTTTTCTGGCCATACTGCGAACTAACTGTATTTGCTTGCATGTCCACAATTCTAGAAATCGTCACCAAGCTGGCTGCTGTTACCGCTGTTACCGACATTATTTACTCGATTTATCTCTAAAAATAAATATGGTGAATGTTGTGATTTTATTATGATTTTCGGTGATACGCATTACTGTGATAACCTGTCAGTAAAAGTACAAAATTGTTTAAGTTTAAATTTGTTAAAGTATGTTGTTATCGTAATGTTCAAGGTACGGTATGCATGTTAAGTTACAGGCAAGCAGTTTGCTGTTACGGCTCTGTTAAGAACTACAAACTGTACGGAGTTTTCTGTTTATGCAAGTTTGATACAACTTGTTTGAAGTTCAATTAGGTTTGGCTTTCTAAGCAAGTTTTTTGTTTGAGGCTAAGATTGAACTGTAAGTTGGCCGTAATATCTTTAATTATTATATATGTAGTGTGTATTCTATACTCAGAAAGCATTAAGCTGACGGTTTTTATGATGTGCAAATGCCTGGCTAAATGACAGGAGCAACTTTAAATAATGATTTTGGAATACCATTTATGTATATTTAATTACTTCATTTTCGTTACGTTTAAAAAGCCAATTATTTTCATTGACACTTATTATTTATTTACATTTTTGAAAATGTTTTAATTTTTTTATTAAATTTTTAATCATATTTTTTTTATTTTTAATTTTATTATTATTTTCCCAATTTCCATCGATATCCCAGAAAATTTTTGAATTTTCTTGTTCGCACATTCACTAGCTGATTAACGGGTATCTGATAGTTGGGGAAAACGACTATAGCATTCTTTCTTAAATAACATAATTATTATTTTTAATTTGTATACCCTTGCACGGGTGTATTTACTACAGCTAGCAGTTTGCAACGTAGTAAATTTCTTCTTTGCGACTATATCAAGAATTCAGTAGAATCCGGTTATAACGACTCCGCTTAAAGCGTCAGTGCGGTTATTGCGACGGAAACTCGATGGCTTGGTTGGTCCTCATACAAAGTTATATGAAAGGACCCTGCGGTTAGTACGTCTTCGCCTTTAGCGACCAACAGCTTATACCGACGAGATTTTTCATAATTTAACCGGATATTGCGACGTGCCAAAAAAAAAAATACAGAAAAATATTTAAAATAATTTACAGTAATTATTTAAATGAATTACAAAAAAAAAAAAAAAAAAAAAATCACAAAAATGTTTACAGCGTATATTCCATAAGATTTTTTCATAGTCTTTTCTGCTTTTTTTCAATAAAACTTAATGCGTAAATTTGCCAAATGTTAGTTAATGCACTAATTGTGCGACACTTGTCTTTCAATAAAATGTCTTTAAAAAGAAAGTGCTTCTCCGTCGCAGAAAAAATGCAAATTATTCGGCGTTTGGAAGCCGGTGAGCCTATGAAAAACTCATGTTATTAAATTAAATTTAATACATTTTTTGTTTGATTAAAATATTAATTGGTTTTATGTTAAAACATATTACGAACACAGCCACCATAAAATAACACAAAAAAAAAATTTTTTTTCTATCTTTCTGTTAGTGCGTCTTCCGGGTATAACGCCGTAAAATCGGTCCCATGAAAGTCGCTATAAACTGTTCCTTTCCACACAAACTAGCCTCCCACTTTTAAAGCTAAGAGCATGAAACTTTCCCAATATTACCTCAATATTATAATAAAATACGGGGGAAAAGAGAATGAAAGGTAGCCTCGACAAGCCGAAGGAGCAAGCGTTTGCGACCATATAAAGTATATACATATGTATATGCTTGATCAGGATCAATAGGCGAGTCGATCTGGCCATGTCCGTCTGTCCGTATGAGCGCCTCGATCTCAGGAACTACAAAAGCTAGATTGTTGAGATTAGGCATGCAGCTTCCAGAGACATAGACGCAGCGCAAGTTTGTTTCCAAATGTTGCCACGCCAACTCTAACGCCCACAAAACACACAAAACTGTCGCGGCCACACTTTTGAAAAATGTTGTGATATTTTGTTTTCGTATATATAGTGTACATTTTTATAGATTTGCCAAAAAACTTTGGGCCAATGCCCACAAACCGATCAAATTTTCGTTTCTCGACTTTTCCTGATCATCTGATGTTTTACAATATATACAAGACAAACCATAAGCCGATAACATAAAAGTGAAATAATTTAACTTTTCTCAATATACAAGCTAGTATTTTGAAAA